ACCGTTGGAAAGCTCATTCAAAGCCCGTCGACATAAACTAATGCAGGATATATGATGGACGAATTCATGGGGCGGGAAAAACGTCAGAACTTTGTGCATAAAGCCCAAAGGGCTTAAATGAGCGTGCCCGATTCAGACGGCCATAAATTTTTATTCGGGAAGAGTTACGGGGCCTGTAAGCTACCATTGGAAAGCTCATGCAGAGCCCGTCGGATGCCCATCAACGTCGACTAACATACAAGCCTTTGGCAGTCTAATTCGTGGAGCGGGCCGAACGTCATAAGTCTGTGCGTAAAGCCCAAAGGGCTTAAATGAGCATGTCCTATTCAAACGGCCATAACTTTGTTTCTGGGAAGAGTTACGGGGCCTGTAAGATACCGTTGGAAAGCTCATTTAGAGCCCATCGTCTTAGACTAATGCAAGATGTCTGACAAAGGAATTCATGGAACAGACTGAACATCAGAACTCCATGCGTAAAACCTAAAGGGCTTAAATGAGCATGCCCTATTCAGACGGCCATAACTTTTTATCTGGGAAGAGTTACGGGGCCTGCTAGATACCGTTGAAAAGCTCATTCAGAGCCCGTCAGAAGTGTATCAACGTCGGCTAACATGCAAGCCTCTAGTAGTCTAATTCATGGAGCAGACCAAACGTCAGAAGTCCGTTCGTAAAGGCCAAAGGGTTTAAATAAGCATGTCCCATTCAGACGGCCATAACTTTCATTCCGGGAAGAGTTACGGGGCCTGTAAAATGCCGTTGGAAAGCTCATTCAGACCCGTCAACTTAGATTGATGCAGGATGTCTGGCAGTCTAATTCATGGAGCAGACCGAACGTCAGATGTTCGTGCGTAAAGCCCAAAGGGCTTAAATGAGCATGTCCCATTCAGAGGGCCATAACCTTCTTTCCGGAAAGAGTTACAGGGCCTGTAAGATACCGTTGCAAAGCTCAATTAGAGCCTGTCGACTTAGATTGATGCAGGATGTCTGACGGAAGAATTTATAGAGCAGGCCGAATGTTAGAACTCCGTGCGTAAAGCCCAAAGGGCTTAAATGAGCATGCCTCATTCAGACGGCCATAACTTTTTATCCGGGAAGATTTACGGGGCCTGTAAGAAACCGTTGGAAAGCTCATTGAGAGCCCGTCAGAAGACCATCGGCGTTGACTGGCATACAAGCCTTTGGTAGTCTAATTCGTGGAGCAGGCCGAATGTCAAAAGTTCGTGCGTAAAGCCCAAAGGGCTTAAATGAGCATGTCCCATTCAGACGGCCATAACTTTCTTTCCGAGAAGAGTTACGGGGCATGTAAGATACCGTTCGAAAGCTCATCAGAGCCCGTCGACTTAGACTGATGCAAGATGTTTGACGAAAAAATTCATAGAATGGGTCAATGTCAGAACTCAATGCGTAAAGCCCAAGGAGCTTAAATGAGCATGCCCCATTCAGACGGCCATAACTTTTTATCCGAAAAGAATTACGGGGCCTGTAAGATACCGTTGGAAAGCCCATTCAAAGTCCGTCAGAATCCCATCGGTATCGACTGACATACAAGCCTCTGGCAGTCTAATTCATGGAGGAGGCCGAACATCAGAAGTCTACGCGTAAAGCCCAAAGGGCTTAAATGAGCATGTCCGATTCAGACGGCCATAACTTTCTTTCCGGGAAGAGTTACGGGGCCTGTAAGATACCGTTGGAAAGATCATTCAGAGCCCGTCGATTTACACTAATGCAGGATGTCTGACGGATGAATTAATAGAGTGACTCGAACGTCAGAACTCCATGCGTAAAGCCCAAAGGGCTTAAATGAGCATGCCCCATTCAGACGGCCATAACGTTTTATCTGGGAAGAGTTACGGGGCCTGTAAGATACCGTTGGAAAGCTCATTCAGAGCCCGTCAGAAGCCCATTAGCTTTGACTGACATACAAGCCTTTGGCAGTCTAATTCATGGAGCGGGCCAAACCTACAAAGTTCGTACGTAAAGCCCAAAGGGCTTAAATGAGCATGTCCCATTCAAACGGCCATAACTTTCTTTCCGGGAAGAGTTACGGGGCCAGTAAGATATCGTTGGAATGCTCATTCAGAGCCTATCGACTTAGACTGATGCAGGATATCTAACAGACGAATTCATGGAGCGGGCCGAATGTCAGAACTCCGTGCGTGGAGACCAAAGTACTTAAATGAGCATGCCCTATTCAGACGGCCATAACTTTTTATCCGGGAAGAGTTTCGGGGCCTGTAAAATACCTTTGGAAAGCTCATTCAGAGCCCGTCAGAAACCCATCGGCGACGACTGACATACAAGCCTTTGGAAGTCTAATTCATGGTGGGGGCCGAACGTCAGAAGTTCGTGCGTAAAGCCCAAAGGGCTTAAATGAGCATGACCCATTCAGACGGCCTTAACTTTCTTTTCGGAAAGAGTTATAGGGCCTCTAGGATACCGTTGGAAAGCTCATTCAAAGCCCGTTGATTTAGACTAATGCAGGATGTTTGACGGACAAATTCATAGAGCGGGCCGAATGTCAGAACTCAGTGCGTAAAGCCCAAAGAGCTTAAATGAGCATGCCCCATTCAGACGGCCATAACTTTTTATCCAGGAAGAGTTACTGGGCCTGTAAGATACCATTGGAAAGCTTATTCAAAGTCCGTCGGAAACCCATCAGCGTCGATTGACATACATGCCTCTGGCAGTCTAAATCATGGAGTGGGTCGAACGTCAGAAGTCTGTACACAAAGCCCAAAGGGCTTAAATGAGCATGTTCCATTCAGACACCATAACTTTCTTTTCGGGAAGAGTTACGGGGCCTGTAGAATACTGTTAGGAAGCTCATTCAGAGACCGTCGACTTAGACTGAAGCATGATGTCTGACGGACAAATTTATGGAGCAGGTCGAACGTCAGAACTCCGTGCGTAAATCCCAAAGGGCTTAAATGAGCATACCCCATTCAGACGACCATAACTTTTTATCCGGGAAGAGTTACGGGGCCTGTAAGATACCGTTGGAAAGCTCATTCAGAGCCCGTCCGAAGCCCATCAGCGTCAACTAACATACAAGCCTCTGGCAGTCTAATTCACGGAGCGGGCCGAACGTAAGAAGTCCGTGCGTAAAGCCCAAAGGGCTTAAATGAGCATGCCCCATTCAGACGGCCATAACCTTTTATCCAGGAAAAGTTACGGGGCCTATAAGATACCGTTGGAAAGCTCATTCAGAGCCAGTCAGAAGCCCATCAGTGTCGACTGACATACAAGCCTCTGGCAATCTAATTCGAGGAGCGGGCCGAACGTAAGAAGTCCGTGCGTAAAGCCCAAAGGGCTTAAATGAGCAAGTCCCATTCAGACGGCCATAACTTTTTATTCGGGAAGAGTTACGGGGCCTGTAAGATACCGTTAGAAAGCTCATTCAGTGCCCGTCGACCTAGATTGATACAGGATGTCTGACAGACGAATTCATGTTATGACCCGAACGTCAGAACTCTGTGCGTAAAGCCCAAAGGTCTTAAATGAGCATGCCCCATTCAGACGGCCATAACTTTTTATCCGGGAAGAGTTCGGGGCCTGTAAGATACCATTAGAAAGCTCATTCAGAGCCCGTCAGAAGGCCCTCAGCGTCAACTAACATACAAGTCTCTTGCAATCTAATTAGTGGAGCGGGCCGAACGTCAGAAGTCTGTGCGTAAAGCCCAAAGGGCTTAAATGAGCATGTCCCATTCAGACGGCCATAACTTTCTTTCCGGGAAGAGTTACGGGGCCTGTGGGATACCGTTGGAAAGCTCATTCAGAGCCCGTCGACTATACTAATGTAGGATGTCTGACGAACGAATTCATGGAGGGGGCCGAATGTCAGAACTCCATGCGTAAAGCCCAAAGGGCTTAAATGAGCATGCCTCATTCAGACGGCCATAACTTTTTATCTGGGAAGAGTTACGGGGCCTATACGATACCGTTGGAAAGCTCATTCAGAGCCCGTCAACATATAATGATGCAGGATATCTGATGAACAAATTCATGGAGCGGGCCGAACGTCAGAACTCTGTGCGTAAAGCCCAAAGGGCTTAAATGAGCATGCCCCATTTAGACGGCCATAACCTTTTATCCGAGAAGAGTTACGGGGCTTGTAAGATACCGTTGGAAAGCTCATTCAGAGCCCATCAGAAGCCCATCGATGTCGACTAACATAAAAGCCTCTGGCAGTCTAATTCACGGAGCAGGCCGAACATAAGAAGTCCGTGCGTAAAACCCAAAGGGCTTAAATGAGCATGTCCCATTCAGACGGCCATAACTTTCTTTCCGGGAAGATTTACGGGGCCTGTAGGATACCGTTGGAAAGCTCATTCAGAGCTCGTCGAGTTAGATTGATGCAGGATGTCTGAAGGACGAATTCATGGAGCGACCCGAATGTCAGAACTCCATGCGTAAGGCCCGAAGGGCTTAAATGAGCATGCCCCATTCAGACAATCATAACTTTTTATCCGGGAAGAGTTACGGGGCCTGTAAGATATCGTTGGAAAGCTCATTTAGAGCCTGTCGATGTGGCAACCTGCTTTAGCTGGTTGGAGGTCATTTTCAAGGTCAAAATCCACCATTTTCTAATGATTCGGGGCTGTTTTTGTTATTTGCACATTTTTTTCCTATTTTATTTCGGATTTTCCTTTTTTAATTGATTTAGTTTATTTTCCTTTTGTTATTAGGATTCTTGTTAGCATTGGTTGTCACCCTATATAAACTGATTTTTCATTTTGGAAACAATTCAATGCATTATTCAAATTTTTCTTCAGATTTCACAATTTAAGTTTCTAGATTGAGACTTGTTTATTAGTTGTAAAGGTGTAAAGGTGTGGTCAAGTGCTACCCTTGTTTATTCATGCTAGCTCGCTGCTTCAGAAACCGCCTTTTCACGGCAGCATCCTTCTCAATAAGCTTTTTATGAAAGTGTGGTTGAAGTTCACAGTCTTTCCTTTGTTATCTGTTAAACGACCATCACCCAAAACCTGAAGCATAACATTCTACACAATAGGATGAGCCTTCACCATCTCATCAAGGAGAACCACACTATGAGGCTTCTTATATACAGCTTCAGTCAGTTGACCATCGTCTTCGTAGCCCCTATAGCCCGGAGGCGAGCGCAAGAACTTTGAAACTGTATGTCTCTCCATATATTCACTCATGTCTGTCCTGATTAAGGATTTTTTTTACCCAAAATATTCAACTGCCAAGGCTTTTGCAAGTTCTGTTTTTCCAACGCCATTAGAACCAGCAAATAAAAAGCTTGATAAAGGTTGGCTCAGGTCTCTAATTCCCACTTTAGCTTTACGCACGGCGCGGCTGACGCCCTCAACAGCTTCTAGCTGCCCAATTATATTCCTCTGCAGAGAGCCTTTTCCATTCCCAAAAGTCGCTGAGATTTTGCAACTGAAAGTTTCTCCGTGTTAATTCCGAATATGGATTTCTGGTGGATGAATTTCGCGTGCGTAAAAGCGTAATATGCAAGTAAAATATTTGGATGAAACCTATTAAACTTTCTTATATTTATTCAATTGATTACGGGAACTGCATTAAATTAGTACTGCACCAATATTTTGCCATTTGAATCAACATGTATTGTCACTGAATCGCCCTGTTTAATGCTTCCATTCAATATCCTCTCTGCCAAATTGTCCTCCAAGAGGCTCCCAATTGCCCTTCTCAAAGGCCTCGCTCCATAGCTGGGATTATAACCTTCTTTCACAATTTCTTCCTTGAATCTCTCTGTGACTTCAACCTTTATGTTCTTTTCTTTCAGTCTTTCGTACACTTGTTTCAGCATGATCTCCACGATTTCTTTCAGCTGCGAGTTACTCAATGGCCTGAAAACAATCACTTCATCAATCCTGTTCAAGAACTCTGGCTTGAAATTCTTTTTCAGTTACTCTGCAACTTTCATCTCCACATGGTCGAACCCCAGATGACTTTTCTTGAAAATCAAATTACCACCGATATTTGAGGTCATTATTATAATGGTGTTTTTGAAGTCCACGGTCTGCCCTTTGTTATCTGTTAAACGACCACCATCTAAAACCTGAAGCATAATATTCAATACATCACAATGAGCCTTCTCAATCTCATCGAAGAGGGTCAAACTGTGAGGCCGGTGGCGTACAGCTTCTGTAAGTTGGCCACCATTTACAGAGCCAACATAACCCGGAGGCGAACCAAAAAACTTGGAAACAGTATGTCTCTCCATGTACTCGCTCATGTCGATTCTTATCATGGCGTCTTTCGACCCAAAATATTCGACTGCTAAAGCTTTTGCAAGTTCTGTTTTTCCAACCCCAATAGGACCAGTGAATAAGAAGCTTGATATCGGGCGACTTGGGTCTCTGATTCCCACTCTTGCTCTACGGATGGCACGGCTTATAGCTTCAACAGCTTCGGCCTGACCAATAATGTGCTTCTGCAAAGTCTTTTCCATTTGCAAAAGCTGGTGAGATTCTTCACTGGAAATTTTCTCCGCTGGAATTCCGGTCCAGGTAGAGACCATCTCCTTTATATTATCTTCAGTTATCAACATTTTTGTTCCTAGTGATCCCTTTGTTTGATGTATAACCAATTTGGCGCCAGCTTCATCAATCAAGTCTATCAATTTGTCGGGATTAAACCGATCACTGGATCACATTTAATACACAAGTTATTACAAGATCATTATATACACACACAATTAGAGCAACAAAATTCTAAGGGACCTGACCTGATATACTGATGCGAAAGCTGAGCGGCTGCTGCTAAAGCGTTCGATGTGTATTTAACATTGTGATGAGATTCATATTTTGAGCACAAACCTAGCAGAATCTCAATTGTCCCAGCCACTGATGGTTCAGGCACTAAAACCTGCTGAAACCGCCTTTTCAAGGCAGCATCCTTCTCAATATACTTCTTGTATTCATCAAATGTTGTGGCACCAATGCACTACACCAAGCAAATTGCAAATTATAATGATATTTAAAAACGAATTGAGAATCATATTCAATTAATTCACCCTTAATTCTCCTCTTGCAAGGGCAGGTTTCATTATGTCAGCAGCATCTACTGCTTGTCCTCAAGAACCAGCACCTATAAGAGTGTGCACCTCGTCAATGAAGAGGATGATGGATCCTTCACTCAGTTTTACTTCATCTATCAATTTCGTCAACCTCTCCTCATATTCTCCTCGATTCGATGCCCCAGCTATAAGCCGCCCCATGTCCAAGGGATATATCTGAAATTCAGGAATATTCACACAAAAGACTAAAATCTTTTAAACATTAATTATTGTGTAGAATTAAGCTTCTTTCTCTGGAGTTTAACTGGAGAAGTATTATTTGTAATCCTCTGTGCTAAGCCTTCAACGATTACAGTTTTTCCAACACCAGGATCGCCAATAAGGCATGGGTTATTCTTCCTTCTTTTACACAGTATTTGGATGACACGTTCAAGTTCCTGTTGCCTTCCGATGAGAGGATCCAACTTGCCCTAAACAAGAAATCATATTTCTATCAGCCAGAGACCAGGAGAGAACACCATTAAATTATTGAAGACTAGGCAATGAAGGATCAATTAATTTACCTCTTTTGCCATTTTGTTTAAGTCTGTAGCATATTTGTTTAGCATTTCCAGCTGAACAGGACCTTGTTTCTCAAGTTTCTCCATTTGACTCACTACCTAGTTATAGTTTTATTTTATGGAATTATATTGTTACAAGAGTATGCATATTTCCTGTTTTATACTGAAATGTATGCATCCAATTTCTCAGGCATATTACAAAATCCAATGCACATCATCAGATGCTTTAATTTAATTAACTCGTTATTATGACTCCCATCCTTCCCTCTCTCTGTTGGTTATCAAATTGAGGGTACGGCTTCCAAAGAGTCCAAGACCATAATACTTCTCAGATTCATTTACATATTTTTATGCATGTATTTACTGCTAATCATGTTTTCTTCTTCTCCAAGTGCTGTCCCCTGGTCTTCTTAAACTGTTTAAAAGTCCCAAAAATAGCAGTTTTCATCGTGATCCTACCTTACGCAGATCGGTTTACGTGCAGTTCAGGGAGTGTATTGAATACTTCATCAACTGGGGTCACTGATAATTTGTCTCCCTAAATTCCATCCGAATGTGGCATCGTCTTATGCCTAACTGTTTGAGTATATAATTGATGCGTGGATCTATTGGTATCCCACCTCACTTTTTAATAAATTTCATAATAACAAATTTATCTTTATTTTAATTTCCTCTTCTTTATAAATACTTTTAACACCCATTATTATCTCATAAGCTTTAATTTTTTAATGTTATTCAAATCATTCTTAGAACGAAATGATAGTTTCATGAATGAAGAATATTTAAAGTGGGATATATCAAATTACAAGCAAAACAAAATTATAAATTTTTAATTGATTCACATATAAATTTATTATTATGTTATTGAGATTATTTGTAAGGATTTTTTTTAGCTTTAATTTTTTCTAAATTTTTAATTTAATTATCTAAAATTTTATTTTAGAAATATAGATAGTGAGGATTATATAGCATAAGTTAAAAAAAAAAAAAAAAATGTTAACTCTTTTAAAATATATAAACTGAAAAAATAGAATGTAAAGTATTTATAGAGTAGCCTAAGAGATGATTAGTTCTTTAATTCACTAGTGAGATGTCAATAGCTTCATCAACCTTACCCATTAGGCCACGTGTTTGTTTCATTCATCCTCCAAGCCAATTGAAATCGACCGAGATTTCAACCTGCAAAGTTATTTTCTGATTTAATATTGTTAGCGGACTGGTATCAGCCTTGGATTATGATCCAATTGTTGATCCCAAAGCACATTTCAGGCCAGTCCATTTTCTAAACAGTATTAATCTTGTTTTAAGAAGATGAATTGTACCTAATAAACAAAGAAAGGAGAGATCAGAAATGCTTAGGGGATCAGTGATGACATTTAACACTATCTTCTCTTAGATTGTGTAAATTGTAATTAGATCACAATACTCATTACAAGTTTAATATAAACCTAAATAAAACCTCCAACTAAATAGATACTAGATATTTATCGGTGGTTAAAAAAGTTTGTTCCCTTCATTGATTTATTAGGTTTAAAATTCTAATCACTTTAAGACCATCTAACACATTTATAGTTTACCCTAAAAGGTAGATATTCAATGAATCTTAAAGATTAGTTAAAGGTGCATACAAGAGAAGTGCTACCCTTACAAAGACAAATACAAAAGGGGCATACAAAGACAATTACCATCCTTGATCTTCATGATTCTCTCTCTCTCTCTCTCTCTCTCTCTCTCTCCGCTCTTTTTTTTTTTTTTCTTCTCTCTCACCTCACTTTGTAGCTAGGGATGAGCTGAGTCGAGTAGTGGCTGGCTCGAATGTATTAGGATGAGGCTCGAGCTCGACGAGCTCTGGCGCACGAGCTCGAGCTCGGCTCGTTTAAAAAAATAAACGGCTCGAGCTCGGCTCGGCTCAGCTATTTATAAGGATTTAAGAAAACGACGTCGTTTTGAACCCACCTACTTCTTCTTCCATCACCCCTCCCACTAACTTCTCAGTCGAATCTACTGAGACCAAAATCCAACGCCTCATCTCCACCCAGTCATAATCTTAAGTCGATCTTCCTGATGCATGTGCCACGTCATGAGGAAACTACTCACCACCATCGGAGTTCACCCCACCGTCATTGAACTCGTGAGATCTCAGCTTTACCTCCGACCTCCTCTCATGCGGCACCTACGTCAGTGGCCTTGACTCTCTCTCTGTTTTCGGCCGAATGAATGACTTTATTTCAGATTTTAGGGCAAATATGAACACGCGAGCTAAAACCTTACTGATCAATCTCACAAGCTCTCCTACTCGAATGACGTCTCGAGTGATTCGAACAGCTCGCGAACAATTCGAATTGAGCCCGAAAAGCTCGACATTTTTCATGAGCTTGAAGTTGAGCTCGAACTCGTGAACTACTCGTTCTCCAACGAGTCGAGTCTGAGCTCGTCAAATCCGAGTAGCTCACAAGCTACTCGGTTCGACTGCACCCCTATTTGTAGCCCTCTTTGTATAGGCCTTTGTAATGATAGTATTTTTCTATATGTAAATTAGTCTGAACACCCATATCATAGAAAATAAAAATAAAAAGATATTCATTGGAGAGTGTCACGGACAATAGGGATTTGCCTGCTTATCTGTGCCTCATAAATTAACCACTTTCAACAATAATGCACAATTAAGCAAGCATCATATATCAAATGCATTATATTTTTCTAATAAAAAAAAATTAACTCGTATTAATTTAAATAAAAATGGTGTAAACGTAAACATGGGCTCCCGGGAACTACATCACAGGATCTAATTTGTTTTCTATAATGTAATGATTTTTATGGTACTACGTTTGGAACGCTAATATTTCGAAGTTAAATAAAATTATAATTAAAAGGTTAAGCATAAGCTCCAGTGCTCGACATACACGGCATGATGTGGATCTAACAAGTCAACCATTAAATTAATGATATTTGGACACATGTCACATGATTCAAAAATCGAACTATCAGTACAAGTACAATACCATATATAATATGATAGTTTAAATCATATACATTGAGCATTATTTAAATCAAAATCCAAGAGGTTCCGTTACATTATGATCTGAATTAGAATTAATCACAGAAAAAGTGAACATTATTTAGTGGAAGAGCATTGATTGGATTTGTCGAAGGAGCAGAACCTGCACAGAAGCACATGGATCCACATGGAGCCATTTAAAAGAAGATCAAAAACCGATCACACGTATGCAAACTCAACTATACAACACTTAAATTATTTTCCTCCTAAAGTGAACACACAAACCCTAATTATATTATACACTGCTTAAACACTTTTTATAATAAACCCACATAATCTCGTTTTAACAGACATTAATCAAACAATCCAGCTCGTTAGATTATTGAGTTGTCTCTGGGTTGTCTCCGCAGTCTCAATAAGATGACAACCTTGTTATTATTTCTTTTTTTTCTTTACTTTACATGATTTAGTGTTATGTTATGTGCTTAATGTTATTTTATTCTGGCTGTCTCTTTTCGTGCCTTTGTTTTTGCATTTTATTGGTTAGGCAAGCTACCGTTGACACCAACAGCGCTCAGACCAGTGGGACCCCGGACCCTCCACTCTACTCTCTTTAAACTTAACCCATTCGTTTGTTAATTAATGTTGATTTAATTAATTAACACTGATTAATTAATCTACTACGTAAGGTATTTGAATATTATATGATGAGATGACAGATTACTTTATGCTTATATACATATATATGAGACAAAAAGATGATAGTAACTCATCCATTGTAGATAGTAATTAAGGGAAGATTAAACTAAAATCATGTTTAGATTAGCATTTTATCTATACCTATGAGATATATAACACTAATGAGATTTCATCGATAACATACGATACATTTGTTTTATTTATTGTGGTGTGGTAAATTCATTCAGCATGGATTTACACAATGTGTCCCAGAGTTATGTTAAAATCTAGGTTGTATGTCATTCTATTCTATGAAAGAGTTGTTTCATTTGTAAGTCTATCAAAGATTACTTCTCAATAATTCTCAAAGATGTGTTGTCAATCAGACTATGTGTCACTCTATGTGAGGATTACTCCATGTGTAAGTCTACCATTGTAACACTATATAAATTTACTTTTACCTTGATTGAGGGAGGCTTATTCATAACTTGCGCAAGCCACACTTAAATACAAAGAAAACAATGTAAAAAATAGTGGACATAAGATTTACACCAAGCATTTGAACCACTTAATTTTTTTTTTTCTTGTGTTATTGTTGTACTTTCATTTTGTTCATTAATCCAGCATCAATATCATGAGTTTAATACAAACTCATGAGTAAATTCCACCACGGATCATATGTACTTCTTAGGGGGTGTTTGTCTAAACTTATAAGCTGATCAAACTAGCTTATAAGTTCTAAAATTAAGCTAACATGTTTGTTTATAACTTTTTTGAACTTATAAGTTGAGCTTATAAGCCAAAAAAAATAAGTTGGGGGAAGATACTTTTTTTTTTTTTTGTTTATAAGTACTCTGTTTATAAGCTAGTTTAACCAAATATATTACTACATTATCTTTATTTAATTTTAAAATTTCATAGTATACCCTTGTTTAATGTAATACCCTTTTTAGTCATTTTATAATAAAATGTACTTATAAGCCATATTTTACCAAACATGTCAACTACTTATCAGTCACTTATAAGTACTTTAACCAAACACGTAGGATGCGTTTTTCTCATTATTTTTACCCATATTCCCAATCCTATTCTCCAAATATTGTTTGACACATTATTCCAGAAATATTACTATATTTTTTTAATTACTTTTAGACCCTTTAAGTTTATTAATTTCACTAAATACATCCAGAAAAAAAGTTTAAAAATTAACAAAAACACCCCTATCAACGCAGACTTGCTAGATTCTGGCAACCACCGTTGGTGGTAGCCGGAATCTATACGACGGCCTACACCACGACCAGAAATGGTTGGTAGTTCACCGATCTGAGATGGACTTTTTTGGCCTTTTTGGGTCGTCGACGGCCACTTTTGGCCGTGGATCTGGCCGAAAAAGGTCATAGCGAGGCGTTACGACATAGATCTGACCAGTCTGTGTCGTAACGCAATTTTTTGGCCAGATTCTGGCGGTGGTGGCCGAAATCTGGCACTGCGGGTGGTGGGAATGTTTTTATCATTTTATATGTTGGGGTGTTTAATTAAATTAGCAAACTTAGGGGTTTTTTTTATAAATTTTTAAATTTTATCTCGTAATACTCTCCTATTCAACTACCCAATATTATTCTCAAAATCCTATCCAAAATAATAAATCAAACGCACCCATAATTACTTAAAATTTCAAATGCTTATAAACTAAAATTAGTTTATAAATACTTGTTGCTTATAAGCTAATTTTTATAAGTTCAGATAAAAACATTATGAAGAAAATCGCATCAATATTTATTATATTAAGAAAAAGAATATTTTAGGATATCTACAAACAATGATTTTTTGTTAACAAGTCAAATTAATTAAATTTAAAAAAAAATCTGAACAGATTACATTATTATCAGTAATCACCGGTTGGCTTCAGTTGACTATTGATTGTATAATTTTAAGCCAGATTTAGATTTACTGATTTACTATTTATCCACGTTTTTCACATGGGGTTATGACGCAAAAATGCAGCAATTACAGTACATAGACGTATTAATTTTTGGTTAATTTATGGTTAAGGGTTGAAACTTGAATAATCTTGCAATGTAATTCATTCATCATGGTTCACTGCCCAGTGGCTCCTATATCTTTTGATCTAGACCGTTCACTGGTTCATATAATTATGAAGCGCATGATTAATGGTCTCTTTCTCTTCATCATCATGCACTTCTTTGTACAAAAGCAAAGAAAAAATAAAAAGAGAAATTTATTTAATGGGAAAGGAGTACTACAAGTGTAGATTAGTCTTTTTAAAAAGGTTACTTTCCCTTTAATTTTGTTCTTAATGATAATAAATAATTATATAAACTATGTGGTTGACATATATGGTCGGTCAAGCATTCTCTCTTGCGTGAGAATCCAAATCTTCTTGATAATGAATCATGATCTCTTTTCACTATATATATTATTAATTAAATAATTTTTATTATTTCATATGCTACAGCTGGCTTATACTCAAATTCATTTCATTTTCTGTAGCAAATTGATATAACTCTATATTCTTCATATTTTCGTTATAATTCAAACCCAGAAAAGAGAAAAAATATGCAGCTTTTTTTTTTTTTTTTTTTTAATGACCGGGGATGTCTAGACTAATTTACGTATACTTCAACTAATCTTTTAGGACTCTAAAACTATTGGTCGGATAAAAACTCTAGTTGTTATTTCTATTAATAATCAAGGGGTGATTCGAACTCAAAACCTCTTACGTACTACATCTAAGAGTCTTTTTTGAACCATTCGACCATCCAGGAGTGGTTAATAAAAAAAAGTTATGCAGCATTAGTCAAAGATTAACGAAGTTAAATGAACCGTTACATAATGTTGCATATTCCAGGTATAAAGTAAAAGTATATACTTTATGAATTTATTTTTTGACTTATGTAATATGCACCTCATATAAATGTAATGATAAATAAGTTTGAATTCATCCCTATCCGCACAACTGTGATGCATGCAAGAAAGCAATAAATAAAATCTAAAGGCACCAATAGTGCTCCCTTTTAAAATTAAATAAAAAAACATTATGAATTTGGTATCCTGTTTCATGGTAAAGATCATTAAATAAATAAGTAGGACAGGTCATTCCTGATAGAGTCATCGTCTCTCTTTCTCTCTTATTAGTTGAGAGTGTCTTCTCTTCTGCATGGAGATTTGTGTACACAAACTGCACAACCTTTGATTACAAATTCTTTCTTAAATTTCATTGCAGATCCAGACAAGAGCTAGTTTGCTAGCTATCTCTTTCATCTCATCACAATTTATATCTCTGTGTGGTGTTTAGATATGCTGAGATCATTAGCCAGGTCATTGTCGTTGAACAACTTTTAGTTCGGCTTTCTTTCTTCTTTGGTTTAAGCTTATTCTATTTGTCTATTTGATTTATTCACTTTCTGGGTTGACTGAGACCATGTAAGTTTTTCCATTTCTTTACTGCAGAGAGTTCAAGTTTATTGCCGATGATTTGTTCACTAAGCGTGCGAGATTTCTCTCCACAGTTGGTGATCGAAGGTTAGTAATTTATTGTTTATATGAAGGGAAGCAGTCGTCTGTGTTTATATTTTTCTTGATCAGAAACAATGAATGAAGTCTCTCGGTCTCTGCAAAACAAACTCTTGAAGCTTTTACCACATGGGCATTGCCAGAAAACTGAAAGTTTTATCAAAATCATTTAGTGGTTTTAATCTAATATTTCTGATAGATATGACATTTTTTTTTTTTCAATTATATCGCCATTATTTGGTTATTCTTTTTTCAGAATTCTGATACAAAAACAAAGTTTTGATATGTAATTCGAACGTACTTACTTAGCATTTTCATTCTTGATGTTTGTTTGTTCTTTCAAAATGAAGAAGAGATCAGGAAACTAAATGTTTATCAACAGATTAAAGTGCTTCTCTTTGCAACAGTTATGATCGACTATCACAGCTGTTTTTTAAAACATTATCATGAGAAATGGTCAAACAGTTGCTTCGTTAAAGGATTAGTATTAGCTTTCACAAAATGTTTACCAACATGTTAAAGTGCTTCTCTTTTTTCTGTTTTTATGGCCACAAACACAACTAGATAGGTGCAATCAGCCACATAATTCGATACTGTTTGCTTCCTTTAACTTCCTCGAGCTAATAAATTCTGCATAAATTTAGATTGACAAGCTCAAAAACATCAAAACGTGAAATTCAAAGAACAAAACAAACAACATATGACCAAGATTAGTAATATATTTTAGTAAACAATCCGGAAATTTCTCCCTTTTGTTCCTCATTTAAACAGAGACAAACTTCCTTTGTTTATGCACGTTCTCAATCCCCAGATCTAGCAAACCAGGACTCTGAATTACTTCACAACTGTTTTCATATTAATTCAATAACAGATAGTTGGAAAAAAAATCAATGGTAGGAAAGAGAACGTTAATGCCTCGCGAAACTCAAGATCTGCAGGCTTCAGAGTTTATTTTATTTTCATTTTAGAACTATATAATATAGGATAATATTTATAAGAGTTAAAATTCAAACCTGCATTTTGTTTGATGATGAATGCGAAGGTTTGGTTCACATTCCATCACCGGCCGCCTAAAATAATCATTTGATTGGACGTTGATAAATGACTCTCTAATCATTATAAACCTTTTCATCTACTTTGTCCGTTGGCATTTTTCAAAAGAAACGACTAGTTTTGTGTCTATCTCGACCCCATGAATAATAGTATTGGTTTGTTTTGGACAGACTGGAAGGTAAAGTAGCCCTAATTACAGGAGGTGCAAGTGGGCTTGGCAAAGCAACGGCCCAAGAATTTATCAAAAATGGGGCCCAAGTCTTCATTGCAGACATTGACTCTGAAATAGGCCCAAAAGTAGCCAATGACCTGGGCCCTGCAGCCCATTTCGTCCAATGTGATGTGGCTGTTGAGTCCCATGTTGCAGAAGCTGTCGAAACAGCTATGTCTCGATACGGAAAACTTGATATCATGTACAACAACGCTGGAACAGCAGGCCGGTTGGTCCTACAGACAATCGCAGAGCTCGACTTAGAAGAATTTGACCGGGTGATGCAGGTCAACATCCGTGGCACAATGGCCGGGATAAAACATGCAGCCCGAGTGATGGTTCCGATGGGCTCAGGCTCCATTCTTTGCACATCAAGCATTAGTGGGCTGATGGGTGGGCTAGGCCCACATCCATACACAGTTTCAAAATTTGCCATTTCAGGAATTGTGAAGTCAGTAGCCAGTGATCTATGCAGAACCGGAGTGAGGATCAATTGCATTTCGCCAGCTCCAATAGCCACCCCAATGGCAGTGACCAACATAGGCAAATTTTACCCAGGGGCCACAGAAGAGCAAATAATTGAAATCATCAATGGGGTTGGGGAGCTGAAGGGAGCCAAATGTGAAGAAATCGATGTGGCAAGGGCTGCTTTGTATTTGGCCTCAGATGAAGCCAAATATATAACAGGCCATAATCTTGTTGTGGATGGCGGGTTCACTTGCTTTAAAGCTCTAAACTTTCCTTCTCCTGATCAGGTTGTGTAATGTTACTGTTCTTTTTCTACAGCTTTCAAAATTACTTGGTATCTTTTTTAGGTAACCTGTGTGGTTTGAAATTTTAATGATGATATTTATCACATGAATGCCATTAATCTCAAAAGCTGTAAAGATTAGATTAAAATTCTAGGGAGATGTAAAATTTTTGTTTGATTTGGTATGACAGAGGGCGCTATTTGTAAGTTTGGTGATGAGTATAATTAAAAGTTAGTTGTATAGAATCTAAAGATTTAATTTTTGTCACGAGAGTTGCCCTGGATATTAATGACCCAACAGCCCAAGTAGCTACGACAAGCACCCATGCCCTGTTCCAGTTTGCCAAGAAAATGAGCTTGCAACGTTGCATCTGTTCCCCAATTTGTTGAAAGTGAAAAACATGTGTGATTTTTATAATCTGTAGGGACCCCAATCAAAATGACAATTTCAGTGGACTGCAAATCTACATGTACTATATGGCTAGCTGGGTGACAACTTTCACTTCCAAGGCACAGAAAATTGAGATTGATGCTTAATATTTTGAACCCAGATTAAATTTTTTTGAAGCAGTATATAAATATAACAATAATATGGTAGATAAAATATGTATGGTAATGGTCCCCTCTGTGATGTCTTTAACATCAAAACTTGTTCTTGAAAAAGAGCTTTGAGTTTGAGAGACAAAGGTAGGCATGACCACATGGAGAGGCCAGCCTCTTCACATGTCAGACTTAGCTAACAGCCAAGTTTATAATAATAATTCATCATTCATAATATAACACAACTAAACGGCGGGAACAGCCATGGAATTTGTTTGCTTCTTTCTCCTCCTCCTTCTCCTTCATTCATCACCATCCCCCACTCCACTTCTCTTCTCCCTTCTCCAACTAGTTGCATGTCTGCCACGTGTACTTGTTTATAAACTTGTTTTATGCCTAGAGTTATCACGTGAATGAAGGTAATAAAGTTGCCAAATCCAATCAGAATTTTAGATTAATTAGCCACGCAACCAGAGGATATGCATTTCAGCTCAGCTGGGTTTGATTTTTTTTTTTTTTTTTTTTTTGATAAAAACTTGGAGTTCGCAGGAATGCTAAGAGGGGAGTTAAAGTTTGAATAAGTGGACAAGTGTAAGTGTAGCTAGCTACCTTTGAATTGAAGGAGAGGGAATTGAAAAGTAATCAAAGCATTTGATTGGGTGGTAGGTGCGGTGAAAGCAAATGANTCCTATACGATCAGTCGTGCGCCATTCAGTTGATTGTCGGCGGTGGTGGCTAGCTACCATTAGTGGCTTGGGGTGGGTGGGGGTGATTTTGCTATAAATTAAAGTTTTATATGGTTGGATGTTTTAGTAAAATTTCAAATGTAGGGGGTTAAAAAAATTATTCTAAAAATAATATTATATTAATATTTATAAAGAAGGACAATTTAATAATTTATATAACATACCTACCCATTTATCCTCCCAACCAAATATATTGTTTACCAATTTATTTGAACCAATCAAACACATTTTCTAAACATTTTTAGTAGTCTTCAAGGTGATTTATCTTTTCGTTAATATAACATTCCTCTATAATAAAACATTATATAATCCAAATGTCCCCTTTATGGTACCATTGTAGTTGCAAAGTGATAGGTGATACTACACGACTATGTTTTTCACATCCATGGAACTCCTAAATTGGGTTCTTAGAACTTCATTTTTCTCCCTTTTGTTAATTAATGACCGAGTAAACCCTTCAATGACGACCCTTATATCAAACTTAAGATCTTTTTAATAATATATATAAGAATCTCTATTGTCCCATTCTACTATCAAGGCGTTTTTGGTTGTTTATCGAAGTTGTCAATTGGAATAGGTTCAGCTAACGAACTTTTTGACAGAAATGAAGTATCTTTATATTCACCTATTAATTGTTCTCATAAAAATTAATCTTTTATTTGACTAAAACTGATTCATGATAAGTTGTGTCAGGATTAGGCACATAGCCACATACACAATTGTGGGTTCAATTGAACCCACTCAATTTTTTNATAATCACAAAATTAGTCATTAGGATCTATTAAATATTTTACAAATTCAATATCGTAAGTAACACCAAAAGGTTCGAATTTAAGAAATCAATAAAATAAACAAATCTTGTTAACCATTAGGCTAACCCTTTCGAGTTGATGATTAATAAATCTCAATCTTACTTCTAATCTAAAATCTCAAATATTTAGGTTTTCTTTCTGCATTTGGAACAGTAGAAGACAATAGAGATTAAATTTTACCAGAGTTAATGTGTGGTGGAATTCCAAAGTAAACAAATTGTATCTACTTTCATAACTGTTGTTTCTCTCTCATGAATTATTTGAAATCTTACAAGATATTATGCAATTAATAGGATGCAAATCCATGAAAGCTAGGACAACGTAACATGTGTGTGACTTCATTAAATAAAAACTTTATTACTCCGTATATCATTTTTGAACTCTTTGTTTCCAACTATTCATGCCCATTATTAAATTTAAACGTGCCAAAAATAATTCTGATGGCTTGTCTCATGCTTTTATTGAAGCTATTATATCAAAAAACAAAATAATTTTCTTTGCTTCAAATTTCACTCTTATCATGCAATTACCCCCCTACCCCCCGCCCGCCCCCTCTTCTTAAAAAGAAAAAAAATGCCATATTATAAGTTATAACAGAAGATATTTTTAAAAATAAATTGAATAAAGAAGTTAACGTAACAAAACTGGAGGAAGAAGTAACCAGTAGATAACCATAGAGCGGTCTCCATTCAAACTTGGATTCTATTTCATTCTATTTGTGTTCCTGTTTCTGTCCATTTCCTCTTTCTCTTCCTCAACACCCTCTCACTTCCCCTTTTTTTTTTTCTTCTCAAATGGTTTTGGGACCAAACGGCATCGTTTGGATGGAAGGTCAAGATCAGGAACACTCGGTTCCTTGGCCCAGAACCAACACCACCATCGACGAAGCACAGCCACCGCCTAAAGTGGACGACTTAGTTATGGCTGGTGACTCTCTCTCTGGTTCCAAACCTATGCTTGACACTGACTGGTTCATCAACACCACTTTGAACCCACCACCACCTCACCAAGATTCTCTCAACGCCACCAGCATGGAAACTCACCCAGAGCTCAGAGGTTTAAACGCCTTCTCTGAAAGCAATCTTCTTCTCCAGCCTTTGGACTCGCAGGCTTTCACTCTCCTCAATCACAACAACAATAGCAGCAACAACAATCCCTTTGTGAGTGGCTTTGATTTGGGTTGTGAAGGTGGTTTTATTCAGCAGTTGAACCAGGCTCCAGGGTCCAGTTTGATGGGCTTAACGCCTCAGATTTGTACTACTCCTGACTCTGAGTTTCATGGGTTTAATCCTTTTACTTGTTTTGAAGGTTTTGACGGTTTATATTTCAACAACAACAGTAACATTAACAGGTCTAAAGTATGTTCACAGCCGACACTGTTTGAGAAGCGAGCTGCGTTGAGGCAGAGCTCTGGTAAATTGGAAAATTTAGATATATTGGGAGGGAATTTGATGGAGAGTAAGAGTAAGAAAAATGAGGAGGCCAGTATTGACATTTCGGGTTTGAATTATGAGTCTGATGAGTATACTACTAAGGTTGAGGAGAGTGTGAAAAATTGGAATGGAAATAGTAGTGTGAGTGGTGGGGATAATAAAGGGAAAAAGAAGGGTTTGCCTGCAAAAAATTTGATGGCTGAGAGGAGGAGAAGGAAGAAGCTTAATGACAGGCTTTACATGCTCAGGTCTGTTGTACCCAAGATTAGCAAGGTAATGGGTTTTGTTTAAAATGTTTTTAAAATGCATTATTAATGTTTTTTTTTTTTTGTTAGATTATGTGATTGTGTTTGTTATGTTGGCAGATGGATAGGGCTTCCATACTCGGGGATGCCATTGATTACTTGAAAGAGCTGCTTCAGAGGATCAATGATCTCCATAATGAATTAGAGTCAACACCAACTGGTTCTTTGACGTTGCCTTCTACAAGCATTCAGCCTATGACCCCAACTCCACCTACTCTTCCTTGCCGCGTCAAGGAAGAGCTATGCCCGAGTCCTAAAGGCGAACCTGCAAGGGTAATTCTATTCCAAATGTTAGCTAAATGGCTTTTATTTTGTCTTCTCTTAACTGTTCGATGCTTATATGCTCAAGGAAAATTCTGTTATAAATGGAGGTATTCTTTTTGGTATCCTAATTTAACACTTATTTAGGACATTAACATGATAATTAATGTTGATTGAAATGTCTTAATTTTGAAAATGTGTTCTTTTGTTTTTCAATGGTGTCTAGCATGCATAATATAAGTTTTCTCAATCTGGGAAACGAGCATGTTATGTGGATTTGTACTCCACCACGTTTTATCGTTTAATGGAAGTGGTTTTGTCAATCTTGTTCAGAGTTGATTTAGTAGCCTTAACAGTGTCTGCCTGCATGTGAATGTACTTGGTGAACAATGGGGTCCAAATGTTTAGTCCTTTCTATACAATGACTTGAACTGACAATGAGTGGTCACATGTTATAGAATCACAAACTTTCGGTGATTGGAGGATAAGTGATTTTGAAATTTTGATATACTGTTTAGGGATGAATATTATAAGATTAGTTAGATAAAATTACATAGACGGAGTTTATTTATCAATTGTTTGTATTTTTTATCCAGATTTGTACCATGAGATGCTGTGCATAATACATTTCTTTGGGTAGATGAATACTTGTGGTTCTTATAAATGCTTGGCTGCAGCCTCCCTATATCTATTTTTCTGTGTTTTATTTCTTGTAATTTGGTTTTGCTGAGACCTGTGCATTCAAACTACTTTATGTTGACTCTTATACTTTACATGGACTCTAAAAAAAGGTAGTTCCCATTCAACCATGTATCAACCTTGAATATAGATATGGATAGATTATCATGTTGCCCAACATGTATACTTCAGTTCATATGACATGGAATTGAAAGCAATTATTAATTGTATCTTTTTGGAGCAATTAAGCAGTCATATGACAGCATTAGGAAAGTACTAAATCATACATTTTTGATATTCTAAATTGTCTAGGTGGAGGTTAGGGTAAGGGAAGGAAGGGCTGTCAACATCCACATGTTTTGTGCCCGGAGACCAGGTCTTTTGCTCTCCACCATGAGGGCTCTAGATAACCTGGGTTTGGACATTCAGCAGGCTGTCATCAGCTGTTTCAATGGGTTTGCACTGGATGTCTTCCGAGCAGAGGTGCACTTCTTTATCATCTCCTTTTCAAAATTCTTTTTTTTGATAATAATGCATAGCTGGAAGATAATTTTTAACTAGCCTCTGACATTCAGCTCATTTAGCCGTGTTTAACATAAATCTGGGAACTGACATCTCTCAAACTCAATAATTTTGTATAAAAATTGTTCCTCAAATATGATGGAGAACATGTAAATTGTGGGTGAAAGCTTGTCTGTTGTGTTTGAACCCATATGACCACACAGAAATTATCTATATTGAACCAGTAGTTTGGATTATTCTACAGTTAATTGAATAATTGTTTACTTGGATGTTCCCTGTGAGTTTATTCTTGTATAAAGTGCTATCTCTGCATGCACTTGCATAGGTGCATTAGCATATGATTGAGGGTAATAATTTCTACTGACCTTATTGTAGAGGATTTGGTAAGTCTCGCAGATTTTGGCACGCTACATCTAGTATAATGTATAAACCTTCTCACTTTATGTTTGTTGCTCTCTCTCTCTCTCTCTCTCTCTCTCTCTCAACTTAAATTTTTGCAACTAGTGATTGTTTATACCATTGATCATCCAAGGATTTCCTTGCCCTCCTCTCTTTCATGCCCAGCCCTCTCTAAAGATCAATGATCAATTATCATTGATTAAACTGATTACAGCAAACATGGTGTAAGTATTGTTATCATGGTCTGTCAATTTTATCATCTAGAAACAGCAGTCATTTCCAATCTTTTGGTACAGCATAATAAACTGATCTGGACACTATGCGCTACAAAATCAACAATCATCACATCTACATCTCCTAGTAGCCCACCGTGGGTTTGCTTATGTTTTGTGGCCTGAGGCTTGATCATTCATGTTTTCTAATGCTTAGCATCTCAGGCTAATAATACGATCAAGAGACTGATTTTTTCTTTCTTTATCAGCAATGGAGGGAAGGCCAGGATGTGTTGCCCAAACAAATCAAATCAGTTCTTCTGGAAATGGCGGGTTTCCCTGATACAATGTAGCTCTTCTGTATTTGCAACCGTCAGTACAAGTGGAGGAACTAACTGTTGTTCTGTACCTCAAGTAGTTTGTAAATGCAATTTACTTCTCATTTCTATTCCCAGAGGTATATTATGAACAAGACCAGATTGATGTAGTTTGGAGAGACAGGTAGGTTGGTTAATCATCTTTGGTGGGTTCTATTTCGTTATCGTGCTTCAAAGGCATAGAAACTCAAGTTGTTCTTTTGAAATCATCTTTGGTGGGTTCTATTTCGTTATCGTGCTTCAAAGGCGTAGAAACTCAAGTTGTTCTTTTGAAATTTCAGTTTTTAGAATAAAATTTCCGTTTTAGTTGTTTAATTAGCATGAACAATTGTTAAAGCTTGTGAATGTTTGCATTTTCTGGAACTTTTTTTTCCTGCTAATATGTCATAATGTTCATGTAAATTATCATCTTCAAGGTTAGAATACATGTTCACTTAAGAAATCTTTCCCACTTAGTATTTTGGTAATTTAGTTCAGTGTTGTCCAATGGAGGATTTCATACCAAAAATTATCCTTATAAATGCTCATATTATACACACCATTTAATAAAATAAAATAAATTTTATGTTAAAATTTTATCCGATGGACAAACGGGTTCCTTATATATTTAGTAATGCAAACTGATGGGCCCGCCGCCCATCTATAAAGTTCGTGTTATTGAAAAAATGCAAAGCCAGTTGAAGTAAAAACAAAACGGTGTCGTTGCAATTCAAAGATTTAGGGCAAAATTTTAGTACTTACTCTCACTCTTGTATAAGAAAGTTGGTTCTCGTTTTACACTTTTACTTGCTTTCCCACGTTTTTCAACCTCTTGGCGCTTTCGCTTCTGCAGTAAGATTTTCCTTATCCTCTCTTTAACTTTTCATGCCGTGACTGTTAATTATGAACCAGGTTGTAAAAATGTACATATATATTTCTTTTTAATATTATATTCAATTAACAGTCGGAATAGTTTCTTACTTTTAGTTTAAATAAATGCTTTTCTAGATTCTATATGACTACTCTGAACCAACCATGCTTTTTCACTATCATGTTTTGGTATGTCTATTTGTAAAAACAAAGATTTGTATCTTTCCGAGCAATAAACCTTATTGTTCTTTTGCGTCTGTTCGGATTTTATGGGTTCGAAATCCAAAATCCCCTGAATGGAGAATCTCGATGCAAATCTATTTCTTACACAGACTTATGCAAGAAAAGATTGTTGTTATCATTTGCTTGCTTTTTGATGACCCATATAACTCTAATGGCTTTTTTATATTTTTACATCAAGCATAAGCAAGAATAGTAATTTAATTCAACCAATATCCTGATTGGTTAGCCTAAACAAATGACTTCAATAGCATAAAACATTTAGATTTTTTATTTCTATGTTTATTTATCTGGGACGTTCTCTTGTATTGGGTGCTGTTGTTTAAGCCAATTTATTTGAAACATGGATTTACTTCAATGATTGTTGCATATTTTAGTGATTTATGTTGAAATTCTGTTTGATGTCTTAGATACAGGGAACAAGTACAATAAGTAGGCCATGAGAAGCAAACTTCTCTTTCTTTTTGGTAGTAGTGTTTGCATGTCCTGAGACTTTTTGTTTATATTTTTAAGCAGTAACTTGTGACTTAAAGTCCTACTACATTGTGCTGAATAAGCTTGGAGTGGTTATGTTGTGTTAGCTTGAGGTTCTCCCATGATTCTTCAGCAAGCAATTTTACATTGAATGGAGAGTTCCGAAAGTGTCATAAGGAATCCCTCAAATTAGTATTTGACTTGACAGTCAGTATTTCTATCACCTTTTTGTATGCTTAATTTTGGCTAATGAGTTGCCAAATTAAAGGTGAACATTTTTCCTTGCAGGAATAGCTATGTTTTGCATTTGTTTATATTGGAGTTCAGAAATGAGCTGCCTCTAGGTTATTGCTTTCCCAGGTTTAAAACGATAAGACCACCTTTAATATGGTAAAAAAAGGACATATTGAACTGAATTGTGGTCATAATTTCAAACTATGGAGTCATGAATGCTGTAAAGGCGGAGTGATTAAAATTTTGAGACTTGTCTTGTTAGTTGACAATAATCTCTTTAAAATTGATTTCTACAAGACCATCTTTATATGGTCATTTAGATGGAATTAACCTATTAGCACTTTACAACAATTAATGAACATAACTATTCTCTTTTTTTTTTTTTTTTCCATGTTGTGTGGCCATGGTTGTTTTCTTCTTAATTTTTTTTGGTGGAGATCTTTATTACAATAATTTTTTGCTCATTAAATTTTGCAGGGTTATAATCTACTAATGTATTTTCATTTCTTGACCAGTGGGTATCATATCCTCATTGCTATTGCAAGCATATTGATTTCATTTTTAATTTTCAGATACCAATTCTGATTTGGTTTAGAAGTCTCAATCGTGGCAAGCATGCACAATGAACATAGTCAAGTTCCCAATGAGAGTTCAGAGGCTCCTGTCACGAGAATGAGTGTTGATTTTTTCCTTGACAGAATAATCAGATTAAGCGTCGATATGGATGGACTGATATATCGGTACAATGTTACTTGAATTTGCAAAAGATACACTCCCAGACAAGGAAAGCGAAGGCATCCCAAGCACATTCGGTGAAATGATGAAAATTCTTGATGGCTTGGAACTCCAAAAAAATAAAACTGATGCAGGTTTTAGTGAGTGCAATCCAAACCGAGAGCAATCTCAGACCAATCATGGTAATGAAAATCAAATTGTTGCATGTTAGTGCACTACAATCTATGCCTAAAATAAAATTATTGTGTATGAAAAATTATTAATTAGTGTTAGTAACAGGTTCTTCTAAGCGAAGCCGTGAATCGAAACGACTGCAATCAAAACACTTGCAGAAAAAGGCCCATTTAAGTGAAGCAACCTATTGAGGAAGAGCCAGAAAAGAAGAAAAAACTGTTGAGGTCACCTTGAGTGGAGATGATAAACAGCGTGTTGGCTCAACATCTGAGAAAGCAATGGTAAGTCTGCATGATTTTCGAAATAACGAAAGTGTCTACATCTACCCTCTTTTTTGTATTACTTAGGAATTAAATTTACCATTTTGGGTGCATTTGAATCGGCGGCATATAAGATAACTGAGTATATTCGTTGATTTTGCAAGATTTCGGTATTTGGTTTGCAGTAATAAAATATTACATGAATATTTTTTGCAAATAGTGTTTACTATCAATATGTGAGGGCAAATCCGATACCCTCCCCCACCCTTGGGATTAAAACACCCCTCCTCCACACCTGAGATTAAAACATTATTAGGATAATCTGATTTTTATACCTATTTACCCATAATTAAAAACCTTTCAGACACCCCAAATGTCTCCCAATAAATTACCACCCTCTTACATTAAGAAATTAGCTAAAACATCTCAGTCACAAAAAAGTTTAAAGTTAACAAAATTCCTCCAGTCACCCAAGACCGTCGTCGACAGTTACTCACCATCGTTGGTCGCTAGCGTCATCGTCGTAATGGTGCACATTGGGGGATTTAGTCGGTTGTGGGCCAACAAGGTCTTTCCTGTGTCAAGAACAACCATCTGGTCGTTTCTATGGCGTTTTATGGTCAAGATCTGGCATTTTCACGGCCATGGATTTGTGATCCATGGTCGAAAATGGCTTTGTTGGTGCACGGCCATCATATACGATCAGTCGTGCGCCATTCAGTTGATTGTCGCGGTGGTGGCTAGCTACCATTAGTGGCTTGGGGTGGGTGGGGGTGATTTTGCTATAATTAAAGTTTTTTGGGTGTTTTAGTAAAATTTCAAATGTAAGGGTTAAAATTATTCTAAAATATATTATATTAATATTTATAAAGAAGACAATTTAATAATTTTATAACATACCTACCCATTTATCCTCCAACCAAATTTATTTACCAATTTATTTGAACCAATCAAAAACTTTTCTAAACATTGTCAGTCTTCAAGGTGATTTATCTTTTGTTAATATAACATTCTTCTATAATAAACATTATATAATCCAAATGTCCCCTTTATGGTACGATTGTAGTTGCAAAGTGATAGATGATACTACACGACTATGTTTTTCACATCCATGAACTCCTAAATTGGTTCTTAGAACTTCATTTTTCTCCCTTTGTTAATTAATGACCGAGAAACCCTTCATGACGACCCTTATATCAAACTTAAGATCTTTTAATATATATCTAAGAATCTCTATTGTCCACCTCACTACAAGGCGTGGTTGGTTGTTATCGAAGTTGTCAATTGGAATAGGTTCAGCTAACGAACTTTTGACAGAAATGAAGTATCTTTAATTCACCCTATTAATTGTTCTCATAAAAATTAATCTTTTATTGACTAAAACTGATTCATGATAAGTTGTGTCAGGATTAGGCACATAGCCACATACACAATTGTGGGTTCATTTGAACCCACTCAATTTTTTAAAAAAATAAAAAAATCTTTATATATATTGATTTACAATTTTGACCCCTCAAAATTTTGAATTATTAACACTTTTCCTATTTAGATGTTTTAACCCAAATTGTAGTATAATAATTTGATAGAATAACTTTTAAATTACAATTTTTATGTTTTATTTTAGCATATATTTTATTGTAAATTTATCAATTTAAATGTATAAACCATTTACTAAAATCTGATTAGTTCTGGTGGGGAAGACAAAGATAGCCAATATTAACTCATATTATATGTGATTCTGCTTTTAAATCAGGGTTCGATGTCAAGGACAAGCGGTAAATGAGAGGAAAACAAGCTCGAGGAAAGTCCCGAATGAGTCACACCTAGGCCATGCACTGTTTGAAAAAGACATTTAAATGTGATTAGAAACTTTTCAGTAGCAGTGCCATTGCAGTAGCAGAAACTTTTAGACCACTCTTTTCTTTGTTCTGACTACTTGGCATTACTTTGTTTTTTTTTTTTTTTTTAGTCATTATGGCATTAATCTAATCGGGTAATATTTTATAACAAAGTTAAATCAATTTCTTAGGTCCAATAATTCCAACGAGTAAAAGACTTTTCCCACCCAAGGTTTGGATGATCTACATGTTCCCCACGCCTGTTTCATTAATTGGCGAATCTGAACCCTTAAATAAATAGAATCTCGTTTCTGTTAACAGTGGAAGAGCGGATTAATCAATTAACTTTAATTTGAATTAAAATGTCAACTCAACCATAGGAAAACTAGCAAAACGTGTAGATTTGGCGTGAATTAAATGTTTGTGTCTCTTCTCGTTTAACCCACCCATAACTCTATCTCTCTCTTTCTTCGTTCGCACTCTTGAGAAAACAAAGATGCAACCCTTTCACCTTCTCCTTCAAGGTCTCAACCCTTTCACCAACAACCTTAACCTAGAAAACTCGACAAT